TACATACATACATACATACATACATACATACATACATACAAACATTACCTCTTTATAATATTAGTATAGATAATTCTCAGTTAAAAATAGAAATTAAGATCTATACACGAATTTATATTTAACTCAGGGTGAAATATCAAAATATTAGTAAAAACTATTAATTCAATATCCTTCGAGTATGGAATGACCCAGAAGTCAGTTAACCGAGATGTATTTTTTTTTTCAGATTATTACAAGAAAGGTTAAAATAACCTTAAAAATGTGTTTCGGTTAACAAACTTCTGGACCATTCTAAATATTTTTAAAATTTACATTTTTAAGTTTGTTTCTCCTTGATGTTTTATAATATATATAGACTATTTATATTAATTATTTATAGAAAGTGTTATAATATTCTCCTTAAATATTATATTGGTATGCACAAGATAGCTCAAAAGTTAGTTAACCGTGACACATTATTTTAAGGTTATTTTAACCTTTCTTATAACAATCTTAAAATATATCTCGGTTAACTTACTTCTGGACCGTTCTGTTCTTGAGAGATAACATTAAATTAATAGCTTTTTGCTAAGATCTAATATTTCCACCCCGAGTTAAGTATATATTTGTTTAGATCTTATATATAATGTAGACCTATAGGCCTGTATGTATTTTTATATAAAGTATATATATACTGATCTATATTTTAAATTTTAATTAATGAAACTTTGTTTTCTCTTGCAGAGAGATAACGAAATATCTTCAACTAAAGTGTATCCAATTGATGATCATATGTCTATTAAAAAAGATCACTTTGGAAAAATTGAGAAATTTTAGTTGATTCAGAAATTTAGATCACAGTTAGAGAAATTGTTTATTTTTCAGGATTATCATTTACATGATTTTCAATGTTTTCAAATATACGGGTTTCTGTGTTTTGCCTTCATCTTATGTATATATTGAGTCAATAAAATTTATCTAAAATATTTGTATGGTTTAATTTGTATGAAATTTCTCGTAGAAAAATTTCTTCAGATAATAATAATAACGTGGATCAGAATATTAAGAAACTATCTGCAATTGTACATTATAATGTAATACATTTATCTATTATTTTTATTGTGTGTATTCTGCAACCGTGTCTTCTTTTATCTGTTTTTATTATGAATTTCTCATATTCATGAATATGAGAAATTCATAATATGTTTTATTATGTAGCCGACAGATGAGGGGCTTATGCCCGAAACGCGTATCGGCCTATAGGATATTCCGAATAAAGATGATGTAGAAATACCCAGTGTCTATCTATGCACCTAGTCGTGACGATAAAAACATATTATTTTTATATTTTAATTAGGTTTTTTTCAGTTCCGTTAATTACCATACATAGCATAATCAGAGGTTCTTAACTTGAGATTAGGCTACCTATGGTATTCTAAAAGAAAGCATGTCTTCCTTTTGAATACCTTATGAAGGGTGCGACTTTTAAAAAATGTTTTTCTTCTATTCAAATACACATAATGTCTTCCTTTTCTGAACAATTTGTCCTCCATTCATATTATTTTTTTTTTATCTGATAAGCCAGGAAATGAGAGACTTTAAATTACAGATTTTTAAAAGATGTACCGTTATGTTCAATTAGCGACAGAAATAAAGTAATTTAACTTATAATGAAACATTTATTTTAAAACTCAGAAAATATCAGAATATTTATTATCATAATATTCGCTTATGTGTATTAAATGTTCACAAAATTTACATAAATCACATATTGTTTCATTTTCACTAAAGAGAGCTCTGAGATCTCCAAGTATTTACATATTTTATTTTTTAAGTAAAATCTAGTCTATTTATTCCAGTCATCTAATGTGATAAGCCCTCCAATTCATTACAACCCTATTTATTAGGCTAACTAATTCAATCTAAAATATTTTATTTAGTATTATTTTCTATAAAAGATGATAAATTAACAAAAGAAGATTATTTATTACAAATTCCAGCTAACAATGAAACGACTACAGTATATTTTTCTAATTCTTTTCGCTAAATTCATCAAAGGCGTTATGATCAAGTACAACATCACACCAGTTAAATTTTACCTTTATGTTTTAATAAAAAAAAACTTCGGGTGAATTCTGTTAAAATACAGTACATCACACACTATAATAATCGGACAGAATGACCGAGCGGTTAAGGCGACAACCTACCATTCTGGAGGACCCGGGGTCGAAAACACCAGGAATTTTTCGGGGGTAGTTCTTCCGGATTCGTCGGATCCCGTCTCTTAACACCCGGCTCCCTTATTGTGGGCCTGGCGAAACCATAATGGATTTGCTATAAAAAAGGTTCTGTTAGTATCCATCGGATGGCGAAAGTTAAAAAAAAAATCTATAACAATTTTAAATATTAATTGAATTCATATCTAACTTTAAAACACTTTTACTGATAAATTTTACATGTAAATCTTGATACTGAGATAAAAATTGCCAATCGATTTTATCTTGAAATTCTAAGATAAATTCTGAAGATAACATTCGGTGTATAGAAATGAGTCGCCAGTTAACCTCATCAGCATGATCTCTTATAAATTTTTCAGAAAGAGTTTGGTTTTCTGATATTTATTTATTTATTTCAAATTCACTCTACTTTTAAATTAATTGATAAATTCAGTTAATTTATAAGCTTGAAGTACTGGTCCCTAATAACCCACGATAAACATGAAAAATGGACTTACCCTCAGGGCGGAAAGAGTTTTAAAAAAAACCATTGTACAGATAAAAAATGATTTTCGAACTAGGGTAAATTATGATAATCTGGAACGGATTAGAACCTGGATTCCTTATAGTGTCAAGTACAGCATTTTAACATAATTTTTAAGACCCATTAACGGGCAAGTAGATGAAACCACTGAACACTGGTTCAGTGGTTTTATTCACTCGGCGCGAATCCACGACAGCTGGTCATGGGTCGTCCCTCACCAACGGACTGGCCACGTGGAATTTTCCGGATTTTCTTCACATTTTTAACACCTAAATAGGGAACTGTTTAGAAAGTCCTCCCGGGAGGCATTTCCTTTCATCAGATCGTCCACGTTTTGCGTTGCCGTATACAAATAAAACCAAACCGAAGAATTTAAAGCGACTATTTGCCGCTCTGAATGACCCAAATTTGTCAAAATTGAATACTTGGGAGTTATTCATTGACAGAAAACGTGCTAAATATGTCGAGCCCACGTATAAAGACCATAAAATCAGAAAACACAACAGAAAAAGATATAATGACACTTCCATACGCGGAACGAATAATTAACAATACGTTAAAGTTCTTAAAATTAAACTGAGATAATAATTAAATTTAAATAAAATAAAAAATAATTAAATACCGAAAAGTAAAACAGAATACGGTAAATATTAATAAAAATCAAATTTTTAAATAAATTATTTTAGGCTATTTTTGGCTATATTTTATAGTAAGCGAGAAGTAATTCGGCTCTGTCGCACAGAGAAAGGAAGTGTGAAGCACGTTTTTTCCTGTAAAAATTAATCGACGACTTTAAAATGGTAAGAATTATTTTATTATTGTTATGATTATTATTATTTATTGGTCTACGAGCATTTCAGTTGTTGTTTGACAAAATAATACTTATTCATTAATGCTTATCGAAGGTTTTAGTGAACGGGTGTGAATCTATGATTGAGTGGGCATGAAGAATCCTTTATGAAAAATTGTCTTTTCACAAACACATAAATGAAATTACATAAATACATGTAAATTCGTGAAATATAAAATGTTTTATACATTTTTTTTTCCATTTTGTCATCATCGATTTGTCTTTTAGGCTCGTACTTACATAATTAGGAGGGAGAAAAACCATATATGGAAATTATATATATAAATATACACACTGTATTTGGTAGACTTGTTCTGAATGAAGGGTTCGACCCACCCCCAAATTTTGATCAGATGTGAACTCTGAATGAGGGATTTGCCACCCCCTATAAGAGCAAAAAAGTCAATGTAACCATATCTGTATGTGTGACCCTTCACAATATTTTCACCTCCGAAGGTCAGTTTATACTATGCTTGTAGTTCTGCATTTTGGTGCTCGCTGTTGCTTGCACCTTGGTGTCCACATGGGGGTGATGTGATCCCCATATCCCCAAAAACTATATATGTAGACTTTTTTTTTTCAAACTCCGATAGTCCATAAAACGAATATAAGTCTAAATAACAAAATGAATTTATTACCAAAAGTTAGGTACAAATGTTCCTTTTCAAATCGCCATGAAGATTGAGGCATTTGTCTTACCTGTGGACCAGTTTTTGCAGTCCCCTCTTCATAGAATGTTGCTGCCAGTGACTCAAGATGTGCCCTAACGTTGTTTTGAAGATCGTCATTAGCTCTGCCGTCTTAGCCATGTTTTCAGTTTGGGAAAGAGGTGGAAATCACTCAATGCTAAATTAGGGCTATACTCTGGGTGTTTAAAAAGTTCCAAGGTGAATGGAATTGCTGCCAGTGAGGTGGAAGTCTTCACACATTAAAGGTGTGAAGACTTTCACCTCAAGTCACTGGCAGCAACATTCTATGAAGAGGGATTGTATAGCTCGTCCACAGATATGCCAAATGTCTCGATCTTCTCGGTGATTGTCGAAAAGTAACCATGTTTGTACCTAACTTTTGGTAATAAATACATTTTGTTATTTACACTTGTCTTTGCTTTATGGACCATCGGAGGTTTAAAAAATCCACCCTCATAGTATCAAGTAATCCACGGTTGAGTGGGCTACTTGAAGCTGGCATTGTTGTGTGAGTTAAACGTGATAATCTTAGCAGAGTGATGTGACTCTCGATCATGTGCAACCTGGAAGTGGGCTGATTTCAGGGTCTATATCTCACCAAGGGTTGCATGTAGAGGTATGGTTCCCTTGTCTTTTTTGCTCCTGTAGGTCTACAGCTCTGATAAGGTCCAACTGTCTCATTCAGAAGTGTAATTATATCCAGATGGGTTGATTTCAGGGGACTATATTTTGCAAAGGGTCACGTGTAGATCGTCAGTTCCTTTGACATTTTTACTTCTACGGGCATGACCTACAGCTCTGATATTACCCTAAACTAACAATGAAACTAAACTGAAAATAAACTAAACTAACATCTTCCTCTATTTTTATTTTTATAAATTTCTTTATTTCTTGCATTAATGATGCTTTATTTTATAATTCTAATATAATTTAATATCTGTAATTAATTAAATACTAATGTAAAATGAATTGAATGTAAGCATTAGTCTGACTTGTATGAAAATTGTGTTTATAACTTATCTGGTTCTTCATAATTTGTTTTAGATATTTTGAGCTCATATATGTTGATTGACTGCATTGCAAGAGTGATATGACCATAATATACAAAAATTACTTGTTATATTCTGAATTAATCTAATAAATTAAAATTTACACATAATAAGATTGTGTGAGGTAAAGAAGTGTAATAAGAAATTATTACACTTACCTCATACAATCTATACCCATCATGGGTTTGGCCAGGCCCATAACAAGGCTAGCTGAATGGTGAGCACAAATTAACACTACCCAGATAGGTCACTTCATATACCCACATTGTAACGATGTTTTGTATTGGGTAAAATAACAATGCACCCAGCTGTAAGGTGGCAGTATGATCGCTTTGCCTGCTTCCTTGTTTTTTTTTAATATTTTTATTACATTTTTTCCACTGCTTGTTTATATGCACTGTACATTTTTTTGTTTTTTTTTTTTGTATAAATTTATATTTCAAAAAAATTTTACAGATAAAAAGATTGATTTATTTCTTAATCCTGTATGTAAACATCCTATAAAATTTCTTATATAGTGGATTCATTAATGAATTCAAATATACAAATATTCTTCCAAAGGTATGCCAGAAAAAGAAATATTTAAATTAGAATATGAAGAATAAAACTCAACAAAAATTGTAGAAAAATTGACAAATTATTTCAATAAATCAAGTTTTATTGTATAAGAATTAATTTCCAGTTATACAGGAGATAAAATACAATATTTATAAGACAATTATTATATATAACAATGTTATAACAACATTCTCTACACAAAAATATATAAAAAACTTTCAGTGCACCCTCCTATAAATACTATTTACATGTTAATTTCCACTCTGTTTTTGCCAGCTGAATACTTGTTATTTATTAAATGTTTTGTACCTGCCAGTCTTGTGCAGATTTGTTCATTTACAAATTTTGCAAAAGCTCTTAATTTTAATAGAAAGAATAGAAAGCTCTTAATTTTAATAGAAAGAACTTACGACATTTTTCAATTACTGGACTATAAGTATTTTCTTCCTCTTGGAACTTTGTATGGCATAAACACGTACACGTGGCTGTAAAAAGACAAAGAGAAATGTATGTGCTGTCCATTAGGTGGTACAGAGTCGCGGTGATCTCTGCTTTAGCGATTTGTCATATCTAGGTAGTGTTAATCTGTGATGGTGAGAGACAGTGCTTGTCATATCTGGGACAGACTGCTCATGAAAAATTCCTGGAGTTCTCCTCTTGGATTGGACCCACCAGTGGCCAAGTGGTTCCATTCCCTGAACACTGGGGTCATGGGTTTGCGCCTCACCAGGATGGAATGGCCACGTGGAGTTTTCCAGGTTTTCTCTACGTCTGTAATGCCTGAACAGGGGACGGTTACCCTTAAAAAGACCTCCCAGAAGGCATCCCCGTAGGCAGATGCCTAAGTGTTGCATTGCCGTAACTTAACAAAACAAACAAAAATCTCTTGGATTAAATCCCAGAGCACCCAAAGCATCCAATATTTAAATTACTGATATCAGTGAGTTAATTCTTAGATTACAGATGTTCTGTTTGAATTTTTCATAAAATAACATGAACCTATTCAATTTTAATGACTATTTTAAGCTCTCACAAGTTTAAAATAGGATACTAGAATCTTTTATGTTTATTGTAAGCAATTACATCATCACAGAATTTCCAATTAAAAAGAATTTATACTACTATTAAGTTTCTATAACAAAATATCAATTGCTTATTATTTCATGATATTTAATTTCCAGGTAGTTACATTCTGTATCTATATACATTATATTTGTGTCTATATTTATTACTGCCTTTGTTTTTTATTTTATAAAACAATTTTACATTTTGCAACTAATTCAAATAATATTTGTCTCAGAGTTAGTATAATTCCTTTCACCATTAAAAACTATCATCAACTAATCTGAAATCACCTGTTTAGTTTATATATGACAATTTCTGCAGACTTGTCTTGACACATTTGGACAAATTGAAGAACTTGTAACGTAGCTGTTCACTTAAATCAAGAATTTCATAATCCAGTGTTACAATAGATTAAGTGGGTGAATATGAAAAGTAAAGTAAATATCTTAATCTAGAATTACCAACTCAAAATATGATATGTAACACTCAATTTAAAACATTGTTGATGAATATAGCCATTAGTGACTCAGTTCTTGGTCATAAGGTCATCATCATAGGTATTTTTAATTCATAATTGCATAAATGGTAGTCTTCATGGTTAACATTAAAATGCATTGGCAAAACAATGGACTTAAGCTATTCCTCCTGTATATTTTTGTACAGTACTTGACTTTATTAATTGAATATATTTGAGGATTTTTTTTTATTCCAAGGAATGTGGAGCATTTTATTATTGTGTGTGTGTGTGTGTGTGTGTGTTATAACTAGACACCATCGGTTAAGTAGTCAGTTTTCTGGAGTCCCGGCCAACTTGCATAGGCATTAATGTTAAAAATTGCCAGTTTACTCGACACCATTTATCAGTACTGGATAAATCGACATACTTTTTCTGTTCCACACTCGTTTAGACATCTGATAAGTCGATTCCCCTCCCGAAAAAAAATGAGTTCACACCACACAGCTTAACGTCACAGCAGAATCCGATTTTACATTTTCTCACTGTTCATTCATGCATTATTTGCAGCAAGTATTCTGAAACCTAATGCTTATGCTAAAGGAAAAATGTGAACTTGTATCTGAATTTGAATGCAATAAAACTTTGCTAGCCAAATTTGCAAAACAAGAAAACCTTCCAAGAACAACATTGGTGGGAATTCTGAAGAAAAAAGAGGAAATTAAGAGACTTTTTCTTGGGTCTTCATCATGGCCGTCTTGAAAATGCCAGAAAAAGTTGCCATACAAAGATGTCAAAGATGCTCTGGTACATTGGCTAAAGAAATTTGTTCATTGAATCTTCTTGTTTCAGGGCCGGTACTGAAACAAAAAGCGGTGGAAATCACTGAGGTACTTGGAGTAGAAACCAACTTTAGTGCCAGTGATGGATGATCAGAGAGATACATTGCATGTACAGTACTGTATAAAGCACTACTGTATTTTCCTAATTGTAGTTTTATGGTTTTTTCAACTTCGTTTTAGTCATCATATCGGATAACTTGACACAATTCCACTTCCCCTTGGGGTGTCGACTTATGTGGACGTGACTATATATATATATTATGTCAAGAACTATAAGAAATTTTATAATACAT